CCTAATCTCCTTGAGCCTGCTTCCTCATCTGTGAAATGAGGATCACGGTCTTTCTGGATTGTCTACACCTCGTGTGTATGCACGTATCACATCCTGCTGAGTGTTTTGTGTTCAGACCTTAGTGAGTTGACCAGAATTGCTTTGCTTTAGTACTAGTCTGAAAATGGTGATTTATTTTTGCATGCCCCACAGTGCCTGGCAAATATTGTGGGGGAGCAGGAAAAAAAACTTGTTACATGAGGAAGTGAGCAGAGGAGCTGCCTGCTCGTCTGTGTGCACTGTGACAAATAAATCATGAGAGTTCCCTGGCCTGAATTTCTCTCACCAAAACAGTGACAGTCTTAACAATGGCCATCCTAAAATCACAAAGGTTTTTCAGCTGAAAGAGAAAATACAGATCAGAGGACTTTGGGCCTTGAAGAAGAATGATTTCGAGAGATTATTACAATGTACCGCACTTAATGTGTAAAACCCCAAAGAAACCTAAGAAAGCAGGAAAGTGAGAAGTGAGGGGAGTGCTTATTCAGTTGCTCTGACCAGAAATATTGTTCTCTGCAGTTCCCAGAAATGCTGTTCTCTCTTATTCTCTAACAAGCCTAAAAAGCGGGCATACTCTCACTCCGTTTTTTCAGATGGGAAACCTGAAACGCAGCAAGTGTAAGCAGCTTTTCCGACCATCTGATTTCAAAGCCTAATCTGTTTCTACAGCACCGTATTAACTTGCAAGGGCCAATTCCACGTACATTTCTGCGCTATAGATCTGTCCCTGTAGAAAAACTCCCCAGGGTTCTTCTCAGCAACACCCAGAACCACCCACGTGAGCCAATGGAGATTCAAGGATATCTGGGCTGATTTGGAAAGAGCATCATCTTCGGATGGCTGTGAGGTAATGAAGAAGTCCAAAATACACCAGCTGGGAGTACCCAGAGGACAACAGACCAAAGAAGCCAGCCTTGTCCTTCCGGTTCCCAAACCTGACGGGACTGTTCAGTGTTGCACAGACTTCAGCTGGCTCTGTGCACGGCCGGTGCCAACTACCGAAGCATTTCAGAAATAACTAAGCAAAGCCAAATTCATAATCAGCTAGAGATGATTCAAGCCTCCTGGCATTTCCTCCCAGCCTCTATTCCCAGGAAGAGATGGCATTTATTATGACCTTGGTACAGTATTTTTTATAACCTGGGGAGTATTTTAAAAGCAGTGATTACAGTACATAAACTTTTAAGTCTTTTAGCAGCAGATTTCAGAGACTTTGAGGTTTTATAGGGAGAGGACAGAAAGTGGGTTGCTAAGTGCTGCTTCAGGCTGAAATATGAAAGAAAAATACTTTTCTTATACTGTGGAAATGCAGAATCACAGTCTTCTAATACATCTAACATATCAAGGGAGCAGGTTCCAAAACTTTTGGTTGGTTTCTTCCTATTTATCTGTGTTAAAGGCTGATCTTTGTGAGAGAAAAATACAAGTCAGCTCAAAACTGATAAGTCTGTAGGTGGCTGCCTTTGGGAAATGCAAATCAAAGAACCTCTTGGATGAGATTCCCCTCTGCCACCACCTTTTCAAGATGTAAGTTGTCCAACAAGGCGTCTTTATTTGGCTTCAAAATCTTACTCAAGTTCTGAGCTGTGGTAAACTCTGATGACATTGGATGATCCTTTACTGATAAGATACATTTGATAACTTTTTTGATCTTTAAAAAGCAAACAGCAGGCCAGGTGTGGTGGCTCACGCTATAATCCCAGCACTTTGGGAGGCCGAGGTGTGTGGATCACCTGAGGTCAGGAGTTTGAGACCAGCCTGACCAACATGGAGAAACCTTGTCTCTACTAAAAATAAAAAAAAATTAGCTGGGTGTGGTAGCACATACCTGTAATCCCAGCTACTTGGGAGGCTGAGGCAGGAGAATCGCTAGAACCAGGGAAGCAGAGGTTGTGGTGAGCCAAGATCTTGCCATTGCACTCCAGCCTGGGCAACAAGAGCAAAACTCTGTCTCAAACAAACAAACAAACCAGCAGAATGTCAAACTTTATAATACATAATCTCAATCACACAAAGAAGTCTGCAACTGCATTGAATGGTAACGAAGAATTTAAATGTTAGCAGTAGCTAATTATGGAATTACAAGTCATTTTAATTTTCTTCCTTATACTTACCTGTTTGCTAAATTCTTTATAAAAAGCAGAAGATTTTGGCTGGGCGTGGTGGCTCACGCCTGCAATCTCAGCACTTTGGGAGGCCAAGGCAGGTGGTGGATCACTTAAGGTCAGGATTTTGAGACCAGCCTGACCAACATGGAGAAACCCTGTCTCTATTAAAAATACAAAATTAGCTGGGCATGGTGGCACATGCCTGTAATCCCAGTTACTTGGAAGGCAAAGGCAGGAGAATCACCTGAACCCGGGAGGCAGAGGTTGCGGTGAGCCGAGATCTTGCCATTGCACTCCAGCCTGGGCAACAAGAGCAAAACTCCATCTCAAAAAACAAAACAAAACAAAACAAAAACCCCAGAAATTTCAAGCCCATTCTCATTGGAGAAGAGAAAAGGAGAGAATTACCTTTATAAGTAGAAAAAAAAAAGTTATTTGAAAAAAGTCAGGCTGGGCACGATGGCTCACGCCTATAATCCCAGCACTTTGGGAGCCCGAGGCGGGTGGATCACAAGGTCAAGAAATCAAGACCATCCTGATCAACATAATGAAACCCTGTCTCTACTAAAAATACAAAAATTAGCTGGGCATGTTGGCGTGCACCTGTAATCCCAGCTACTTAGGAGGATGAGGCAGGAGAATTGCCTGAAACCAGGAGGCGGAGGTTGCAGAGAGCCGAGATGGCACCATTGCACTCCAGCCTGGGTAACAAGAGCAAAACTCCGTCTCAAAAAAAAAAAAAAAAAAGGAAAAAGTCAAGCTACCTCTGCAGCAGTAGACATCATCCATTATAAATTCGGCTATTGAATGAGAAACTTAAGATGTGAAAGGTCAGACAATTTTAGATTTTGGGTAGGAAGATTTTAAGGAAGACAAGAAACACTGTAGGTCCTTATTATTTTCTTAATCAGATGGGGTCCAGGAGTTATTATTATTATTTTGGAGACAGTCTTGTTCTATCACCCAGGCTGAAATACATTGGCACAATCTCAGCTTGTTGTAACCTCTGCCTCCCGGATTCAAGAGATTCTCACTCCTCAGCCTCCAGAGTAGCTGAGACTACAGGTGGGTGACACCATGTCTGGCTAGTTTTTGTATTTCTGGCAGAGATGGGCTTTCGCCATGTTGGCCAGGCTGGTCTCAAACTCCTGACCTCAAGTGATCCACCCTCCTGGGTCTCCTAAAGTGCTGGGATTACAGGCTGAGCCACTGCGCCGGGCCTGTCCACAAGTTGTTTGTGTCTGACTCTTATTTCACAAAACAAAACAAAGTATTTGCAGGAAACCAGGTTTATAGAAAGTGGTACCATGAGCAAAGTCACAGACACTTCTAAATGTGTTGCCCGCTCTCTAGGAAGCCAGGTCTGTGGCTCTGAACCTTGCAGATAGGAAAATGTGGATTAACATGGAAAGTGTGATTTCTTTCTCACTGTGATGACCTAGTCCTGCAGGCTTGCTGGGAGCAGCAGAAAGGATATAAGACTCAATCATGCCCGAGTTCCAACTGTAGCTCTGCCATAACCAGTTGTGCGACACTGGGCAATTCATGCAACTCTGTGGCATCTCCACCCTTGTTTGCAAATGAGCTCTGCCCCCAGCTCTAGGATGTTTTTCCTGGCTGGATAAAATGGCTTGCCTGGATAGAGTCCAAGATTGGAGACCACCCCACTTTAATGTCGAACTGGGCCACTCCTTCCCTGGAACAGCCACTTAATGTCCTCAAACATACCGGGGTTTCCTCATCCCTTGGTTTCAGGGATCCTCCCTCAGGAAGATGTTGCAAGGACTGACTAATGCCCACGAGTGTCCCAATAACAATGATGCCTGCTGCAGGTGCTGGGAGTTCCAAGTAGACCCCACTGTGACCTCAAAGCCACCTTTCTGCCCTGCATCTGGGGCTTCCCGTCCCACCTATGTGATTACAACTTAAGTCTCAGATGATGTCAAATACTTCTCCCAAAGATCCCGATGCATTCACAAGAATGGGCTGATAGGTACAGCTAGTTTGCATAAGAGGGGGAGTCCACGTTCAAGGGAGCAAGAACATCTTCTTCAATGCCCCCTCGGAGAACACGTCTGACATCTTTATCTCTCCCAGAAACGCCTGAAAACATCGCCCACATGGAAGGACACTCCAACGCTTCCTCTTTCAGTCCAGAGAAAGTGAATTCTCCCAGTTGTCCTTGGGTTTTGTCTTGTTTTTAACTTTCACACATTAATTTCTGGGGTTCACCTTCTTGGTTCCATATAGCACCGATCAAGAACTCACCTCTGATCCTCACTGTAACCACCGCCCCCCGCCACTACCCCACCATTCACAGGGCAATTCAGAAGGTGGGGGAGGCTGAGGTGGGAGTTTCCTGGGCAACCGGGCGCACACCCGCGCTCACACGGAAAGGAAAATCTTCGCTGTCTACCCAGGTGTGTCCTGAACACCTGCGAACCTGTTGCGTGGCTCCCCACAGGTCGGCCCTGTCTCATGCACAGGCCTGGAGACACCTGGGAGCAGGTGATTTCCCTAGACCCGCGCCCGTCGCTGTGAGACAAGAGTGGGCGACCGGCGGGGCTGCGGCGGCCGCAGCTGGACGGCGGCGTGGTCCCAAGTGCGGAGCCCTTTCCCGGCTCAGCGGTCCACGCATCCGGGTCGCGACAGCGCAGTCGTGCGGCTGGAGACGCGCCGCAGAAGCCCCCAGGGACCCGGCCCGCGCGAGTAGTGGACTGGGGACCCTGCGCGGCCCTTCCGCGCCCTTCCGCCCGGCGCCCTCACCTGCTCCCCGGTCCGGGGCCGCCGGCTGGAGCGAGGCGAGAGGCGGGCGGCCCGTATGCAAATGTCCGGCGGGGCGGGAGCCGCCTCCCGCGCCCAGGATAAAAGGCGGGGCGGGACGCGGGGCGGCAAAGCCGCTGCCTCTCGGGAGCTGGCGGTTCGCTCTGGACCCGCACCCGCCGCCCGCAGCCCCGACCGCTCCGCCCGCGCCCCGCCGGCTCCCGGTAAGGACGCGCAGTGGAATGGGGACCCGAGGCGGGAGCGGGGTGGGGACACAGGCACCAGGCCAGGCGACCGCCGTCCTTCGGTCCCGCTGCGCCCCTGCCCGAGCTTTCCCACTGGGAACGTGGGCAGCGGGCACCTCCCCGCGCTCCCCCGCGTCCGAGCAGGTGCATCTCCGCAGGTGCTGCGCGGGACCCGTTCGTCCCCGGGCCGTGGGCGGTCAAGGCGGAAAGGAGCTGCATTGGGTCTGCGCCGGGTTAGGAGAGAATAAAATACCCTCGGATTGGAGTGGCACCGAGAGTCCGAAAGGAGGAGATGCCACGAGGGTTCCCTGGCTCCTCAGAGCGTATCCTGCTTTCCCCCAGCTATCCCGAGACGCGGCGGGGAGGTAGCGGGAAGCGGGGACCCGGTCGAGGGGTAAGGTGCGGGTGTGGACACCTGTGAAGGAGCAGCGCGAATCGAATCCACCGAAGAGGCCGCAGAGGCGGCCGCGAAACCACTGGCCAGGCCAGGCAAGGGACCCAGCTCTGCTGAGCGGGCACCTCGCCCGCCAAAAGTGGAAAAAAAGGCTTCAGTAGCTCCTTTCACCCTCTATAATTTTTTTTCCTTACTTAAAAAAAAAAAAAATCACAAGAATGCTTCTGAAGTCTATTTTTAAAGCTAATACCAATCACAGGGTTAGTCAGTTAAGACCTGGGGTTGGACCTGGTAGCCTGTTGTGAAAATCCCTCATCCCACGCCTTTTCCCACCCAACCTGCATCCCAGAAAATGCAGTGTGGAAAGAAGACAAAAATTACCCCCAGAAGGTGTCCGTCCTCCCGTTTCGTGGTGCCTGACGGGTTGTTCACCGAGGTTGGGAGACAGAAAGGAACCTCTCCCTCCTCTGCTCCTGGAAACCAGCCAGAACCACCGCAGGGGCCAAGGAGCTTTGGCGTTTCAGGAACACCTGAGGGCTCCCAGGTGGAGATAAGCACTTTGCTTTTGCAAATGGATGTCCTGGGAGCTCTGAGATCCTGGAAAGGATGAATTCGAGGGCAGGGAGTGGTGAGGCAGGGATATCTGACACATCTCTCCTCCTGTTTCTGTTTGTGTATGTTTGTGCTGGTTCTGGGCAGTCACTGGATAAGAGAAGACTGGAAGCATGTCGGAGTTTTGGTTAATTTCTGCCCCTGGCGATAGGGAAAATTTGCAAGCTCTGGAGAGGATGAATACTGTAACCTCCAAGTCCCACCTGTCTTATAACACCAAATTCGCTATTCCTGACTTCAAGGTAAAATTCCTGGGGAGGAGGAAAAAAGGGATGGATTGGTCAGGGGGAGAGGGGAGAGGGAACCAGAGGTTGCTACTTGGGGAGGCCAAGGAGAAAGTAACAAGGCAAAGGCAGGGACTCTGAGGACAAGCTGAGATTTGAGGATGGACAGGGAGGTGATGGGCTCTGTGGGACATCATGCCATAGTCCAAAATTAATTATGGTACCTATGCAGATACAGCCACAGGAAGGAATGAACAGGGGACCAGGTTGTGGGTAGTGGTGTCTAATGCTTCAAAAAGTGGAAAGCATGTGAAATGCACACCCAGGTTCTCTCTATTCCTCTGGCTCCTCCTGGTTTGTCTGCAGCATCTCAGAAGACCAACCGTATGCTTTAGATATGCAGGCTTGGGGGACTTCAGCCCTGACTGTGCTCTTTACCTGGGGGCAGAGGAGGAAATCTAGGATCTCTTTGGTCCTGCAGGAAAGAAAGGGAGGGGATTTGGAGGCAGAAGGAGTTTGGGTTATGCCCAGGCATCTGAGGGCTCTTGGAGTGGAGGGCAAAGTTCAGATGAAACCAACGTTAAAGAAGAGTGAGACGCGCAATTCTTTTCATTTTCTTTTTGGAGACAGAATTCACTCTTATCGCCCAGGCTGGGGCGCAGTGGCACAATCTCAGCTCACTGCAACCTCTGCCTCCCGGGTTCAAGCAATTCTCCTGTCTCAGCCTCCTGAGTAGCTGGAATTACAGGCGTGCACCACCATGCCCGGCTATGTAATTCCAGGTGTGGAATTATTTTTGTATGATTAGTAAAGACAGAGTTTTGCCATGTTGGCCAGTCTGGTCTTGAACTCCGCACCTCAGGTGATCCACCCGCCTTGGCCTCCCAAAGTGCTGGGATTATTGACATGAGCCACCATGCCTGGCCGAAATGTGTAATTCTTTTTATTTTTTGAGACAGAGTTTTGCTTTTGTTGCCCAGGCTGGAGTGAAATGGCACAATCTCAGCTCACTGCTGCAACCTCTGCCTCCCAGGTTCAAGTGATTCACCTGCCTCAGCCTCCCAAGTAGCTGGGATTACAGGTGCCTGCCACCATGCCTGGCTAATTTCTGTATTTTTAGTAGAGACGTGCTTTCACTATGTTGCCCAGGCTGGTCTCGAACTCCTGATCTTGTGATCCACCCAACTTGGCCTTCCAAAGTCTTGGGATTACAGGCATGAGCCACTATGCCCAGCCACGCAATTCTTTTATTTCAAGAAGAGTGGAGTTTTCGTGGTGCTTCCTGAGGCTGTAGGTTTCCAGGGGGAAGACACTACAGCTTTCTCCCAGACCACATGGCACAGGTGCTGGTGAGATGGCACTGACTGCCCAGCATCTGCTCTTGTAGAAAACTGCCATATACTCCCCTTTCAAACCTGACTTTGCCCCTCTGCCAAAACGGCTACACCAACAGCTACCAGGGTTGTGATGCACCCCATTGCTAACATTTGTTAAGCAAGGTGCTGGAGCCTAGGTACTTTAAATGCATCACCTGGAAGCTTTTTTTTTTTTTTGAGACGGAGTTTTGCTCTTGTTACCCAGGCTGGAGTGCAATGGCGTGATCTCGGCTCACTGCAACCTCCGCCTCCTGGGTTCAGGCAATTCTGCCTCAGCCTCCTGAGTAGCTGGGATTACAGGCACACACCACCATGCCCAGCTAATTTTTTGTATTTTTAGTAGAGATGGGGTTTCAACATGTTGACCAAGATGGTCTTGATCTCTTGACCTCATGATCCACCCGCCTGGGCCTCCCAAAGTGCTGGGATTACAGGCGTGAGCCACCGCGCCCGGCCTTACCACCTGGAAGCTTTACCTCTCCCGCTGACTCGGGACAGGCTGGGAGAGGCTAAGTGATTACCAGGGTTATCGGGCTGGTAAGTGGCAGCAGTGAGTTCTGAACCCATATCTTGCTGCCCTCCTAAGCCTGCCTTGTCCAGCAACACACACTGTACGGGTTAGTAAATTCTGCAGCCACTCATTGGTACTGGGAGGCACTGTGCTGGACTCTGGAAGGTAAAAAGATAAAAAAAGAAGACACAGCCCTTGCAGAAGTTGCTTAAAATTAATTGAAAAGAAGCAACTTCACTTGGTAGAGATACTCAGGATTCATCTTTTTTTTTTTTGAGACGAAGTTTTGCTCTGTCACCCAGGCTGGAATGCAGGGGTGCGATTTAGGCTCACTGCAATCTCCGCCTTCTGGGTTCAAGTGATTCTCATGCCTCAGCCTCCCAAGTAGCTGGGATTATGGGCGCATGCCACCACACCTGGCTAGTTTTTGTATTTTTAGTAGAGACTCAGTTTCAGCAGGCTGGTCTCAAACTCTCAGCCTCCCAAAGTGTTGGGATTATAGGTGTGAGCCATTGTACCCGGCCACCTGTTAGTTTTCTTAATTTTTTTTCCTTGAAACTCTGCCAAGTCTCAGAACCTAATTACTTTTTAACATCTAGTTGATGGTATCTCATGATAGCAACTCTTTCCTTTCTGATTCTGTGAAAAGACCTTCAAATACAATTGTGGACATTGTAGTAATTTCTACGCTAAGAAACAGATCATGGCCGGGCGCTGTGGCTTACACCTATAATCCCAGCAATTTGGGAGGCTGAAGCGGGCGGATCACTTGAGGTTGGGAGTTCGAGACCAGCCTGACCGACAAGGAGAAACTTTGTCTCTACTAAAAATACAAAAAATTGGGCCGGGCGCGGTGGCTCACGCCTATAATCCTAGCACTTTGGGAGGCCGAGGTGGGTGGCTCACCTGAGGTCAGGAGTTCAAGACCAGCCTGGCCATCATGGTGAAACCCCATCTTTTAAAAACAAACAAACAAAATAAATAAATAAATAAATATAAAAAATTAGCTGAGCATAGTGGTACTTGCCTGTAATCCCAGCTACTCAGGAGGCTGAGGCAGGAGAATTGCTTGAATCCAGGAGACAGAGGTTGCAGGGAGCAAAGATCGAGCCATTGCACTCCAGCCGAGGCAACAAGAGCAAAACTCTGTCTCAAAAAAAAGGACCTTGGTGCCTTCTTCCCCAGCAAGATCATACCCCCCCACGGCACCTCCATCCCCGCTTTGTTTCCCAGGCTGGAGTGCAGTGGTGCCATCTCAGTTTATCGCAACCTCCACCTCCTGAGTTTAAATGATTGTCCTGCCTCAGACTCCTGAGTAGCTGGAATTATGGGCACATGCCACCATGCCCAGCTAATTTTTGTATTTTTAGTAGAGATAGGGTTTTGCCATGTTGGCCAGGCTGGTCTGGAACTCCTGACCTCAGGTGATCCACACAACTCAGCCTCAAGATCATGGTTAATAACAGCAAAGAACAGAGCAAAAGACTGGTGGGACTGTCTTGGAGCAGAAAAGCTTTTAGGAATGAGAACTTCTTTAACTTGCTTTCTGGTATATCCCTTCCTTGGCTGTAATGACTAATAACATGACGGACTAGTAGGCTGCCATTCTAAGAGGAAAATGAGCTGAGGTCAGACGGTAGCATCATAGTCACTCCTTCCTATGGCAGAAATATGACAGTTTATCCTGTGGGTCAAAAATAAATGAATACACCCCCAAATCCACTGGTTTCTATTGAGTTCTTTCTATTTTCCAGTTTGGCCATTGACCAAGGGTGACTAGTTCAAGATGAAGTGACAAGAGTCCCTGCTCTGTTGTTGAGATGGCATCATGCTTTGCCAGAATCCTGTGAGCCTCTGACGTTTTTATGATCTGTCTAGGTGGGGACCTTGGATTCCCTGGTTGGCCTCTCTGATGAGTTGGGGAAACTCGACACCTTTGCTGAAAGGTAAAATATTCCTTATTTACTGCATACAAATGAGAACTTGACATGGTTGTCAGAGGACACAGTGTTCTTGCTTTGGCTGAACTGGAGTATGCACTTGTTGGGACCTGGTTCCAGAGGTCAGCAGGAAAGACTGATCAGTCCGCCTGCGGGTGCTGGGTCTGCAGGAGACCACCCGGTCCTCCCGGTGTTTTGTATGCTGGAGGCAGCGCTTGTGAAGGGGCTGCCCCCGACCTGAAGATCATGCACAGGTGCCGAGACACCTGCAAAACTCATTGGTGTAGTTTCCCACCAAGCCTTTTTAAGTTTGTTTATTTTTTAGTAATAAATGCTCATAGTAAAAAATATCAAGTACAAAAAGAGGCCTGATGCAGTGGCTCACACCTATAATCCTAGCTACTCTAGAGGTGAAGTCAGAAGACTCACTTGAGCCCAGGGGTTTAAGACCTGCCTGAACAATATAGAAAGACCCCATTTCTTTCTTTCTTTCTTTTTTTTTTTGAGACAGAGTCTCGCTCTGTCACCCAGGCTGGAGTGTGGTGGCCTGATCTTGGCTCACTGCAACTTCTGCCTCCTGGGTTCAAGTGATTCTCTTGCCTCAGCCTCCTGAGTTGCTGGAGCTACAGGCACTCGCCACCACATCCGGCTAAATTTTGTATTTTCAGTAAAGACAGAGTTTCACCAGGTTCTCCAGGCTGGTCTTGAACTCCTGACCTCAGGTGGTCCACCCGCCTCGACCTCCTAAAGAGCTGAGATTACAGGTGTGAGCCACCGTACTTAGCTGAGAGACCCCATTTCTAAGAAAAAAAAAAAAAGTCCCTCTTTTAAGGCAATTCTACTGTAACTTTCTAGGTGAGCCTTCCAGAGATAGTCAATACATGCACAAATAACTATGTCTTAAAATTAAGATTCATTTATTGTTTTTTTGCAGACAGTGTCTGGCTCTGTTACGCAGGCTGGAGTGCAGCCTTCAACTCCTGGGCTCAAGCGATCCTCCCACCTCAGTCTCCCAATCAGCGGAGACTATAGGCACACAACACCATGCCCAGCTAATTTTTGTATTGTTTTGGTAAAGACAGGGTCTCACTATGTTTTCCAGGCTGGCAAACTCCTGGCCTCAAGCGATCCCCCTGCCTCGGCCTCCCAAAATGTTGGGATTACAGGTGCGAGCCACCACATTCAGCCTTAAAATTAATTGTGTATGAATGTAACGTGTTCTGCATCTAGCATGTAGTTTAATAACATATCTTAGAGACAGTTTTATATCAGCACATAACTGCATGTTCGTTCCTTTAAGGGCTGTGTTACTGTGAATAGATGTACCCTCATTTATTTCAATAGACTGGCAGATTGCTTGACTCCAGGAGTTCAAGAGCAGCCCGGGCAACATAACAAAACCCCATCTCTACAGAAATACAAACATTAGCTGGGCATGGTGGTATGTGCCTGTAGTGCCAGCTAAGCAGGAGGCTGAGGTGGGAGAATCACCTGAGCCTGGGAGTTTGAGGCTTCAGTGAGCTGAGATCATGCCATTGCATTCTAGCCTGGGTGAAAGTGACACCCTGTTTCAAAAAAAAAAAAGTATATGAGGATATTGTGGAGTCTTTTTTTTTTTTTTTTTGAGACGGAGTTTTGCTCTTGTTACCCAGGCTGGAGTGCAATGGTGCAATCTCGGCTCACCACAATCTCCACCTCCTGGGTTCGATCAATTCTCCTGCCTCAGCCTCCTGAGTAGCTGGGATTACAGGCACGCGCCACCATGCCCAGCTAATTTCTTGTATTTTTAGTAGAGACAGGATTTCACCATGTTGACCAGGATGGTCTTGATCTCTTGACCTTGTGATCCACCCGCCTCGGCCTCCCAAAGTGCTGGGATTACAGGCGTGAGCCACTGCGCCCTGCCTGAGTCTTAAAATTATATATCTTTGTTTAAATTATTATAAATCAGGGCTGGGCATGGTGGCTCATACGTATAATCCCAGCACTTTGGGAAGTTGAGGCGGGCAGATCACGAGGTCAAGAGATCAAGACCATCCTGGCCAACATGGTGAAACCCTGTCTCTACTAAAAATACAAAAAAATGAGCTGAGTGTGGTGGCAGGCACCTGTAATCCCAGCTAGTCAGGAGGCTGAGGCACAAGAATCACTTGAACCCGGGAGGCGGAGATTGCAGTGAGCTGAGATTGCGCCACGGCACTCCAGCCTGGGACAGAGTGAGACTCCATCTCAAAAAAATAAATAAATAAATAAATAAAAGAAAAGAAAATAAATTATTACAAATCTGGTATATAATCATTGGAAAACATTTATTTATTTTTGTTTTTGTTTGAGATGGAGTCTCACTCTGTTACCCAGGCTGGAGTGCAATAGCACGATCTCGGCTGACTACAACTCTGCCTCCCAGGTTCAAGCAATTCTCCTGCCTCAGCCTCCAGAGTAGCTGGGATTACAGGTGCATGCCAACATGCCCAGCTAATTTTTGTACTTTTAGTAGAGACGGTGTTTCACCATGTTGGCCAGGCTGAACTCCTGCCCTCAAGTGATTCATTGGAAAACATTTTTAGATCATAGAATAACATGAAAAAGAAAATATAAATCACCCATAATTATGTCATCCATGATAAAATAACTATTATATTGTGTTTACAGTGCATACATCGAATTTTCTGAACACATAAATATGATTTCTGCATAATGTCATAGGAGTAAGATCAGTCTGGGCTTGGTGTCCTATGCTTGTAATTCCAGCACTTTGGGAGGCCAAGGCAGGAGGGGCTTCAGCCCAAGAGTCTGGGCAACACAGTGAGACGCTGTCTCTACAAAAAGTAAAACAATACTAGGTGGGTGTGGTGGTACATCTGTGATCCCAGCTACTCTGGAGGCTGAGGTGGGAGGATTGCTTGAGCCCAGGAGGTTGAGGCTGCACTGAACTGTGATTGTGCCATTGCCCTCTAGCCTGGGTGACAGATGGAGACCCTGGCTGTGGGGTATTATAAGAAAGCATTCCCCAAGGGCTGGGTGGTGGCCTCCTGGGCCGCAGTGCTGGGATTCAGTGCTCTGCCTGCTTCCTTCAAGGGGTTTAGGGGTTTCCTTTCTTTTCTTCTCCTAACACTTAAAATTTGTGAAACTCATGTTTTTAGGGCCTGTGGACTTGCTCTTTTCTTCTTAGTGGAATGGCCATATGGTTGCTACTGCCTTGTTTGATGAATTGTGTAGAAAATGCATAATTAGGAGTTGTAGTGAACATACTTTGAAGATTTCTTTTTTCTTTTTTTTTGAGATGGAGTCTCTGTTGCCCCAGCTGGAATACAGTGGCATGATCTTGGCTCACTGCAACCTCCACTTCCTGGGTTCAAGTGATTCTCCTGCCTCAGCCTTCCGAGTAGCTGGGATTACAGGCATGTGCCACCAGGCCTGGCTAATTTTTGTATTTTTAGTAGAGACAGGGTTTCACCATGTTGGCCAGGCTGCTCTCAAGTGATCTGCCAGCCTCAGCCTCCCAGAGTCTTGGGATTACAGGCATGAGCCAATGTGCCCAGACACTTTGAGGATTTCTAATCTGCAGATTAGTGCCATGGGCTAGAAATCCAGTTGTCTGTGTTCTGTTACTCTTTAACTTCTGATTACCTAAGAATAATAGGGTGCCTTTGTTAGTGACATTTTACTCTGTAGGGGGTGCTAGGCTGACTTTGGGGGTGCTAGGCTGACTTACAGGCAGTCCTAGTCACCAAGGAGTTTGCTGTTCAGTATTTTTTTTTTTTTTGAAACAAGATAATATATAGATGTAAACCATTTTTTTTTCTTGAGATAAGGTCTTGCTCTGTTGCCCAGGCTGGAGTGCAATAGCACCATCTAGACTCACTGCAACCTCCACCTCTCAGGCTCAAGTGATCCTCCTGCCTCAACCTCTCAAGTAGCTGGGACCACAGGTGTGCAACACCATGCACAGCTAATCTTTAAATTTTTTGTAGAGACAAGGTCTTACTACATCTCCCAGGCTGGTCTCGACCTCCTGGGCTCAAGCAGTCTTTCCGCCTTGGCCTCCCAAAGTGCTGGAATTACAAGCATGAGCCACCACACCTAGCCACCATTCACAGCCCTTGAGAAAGAAAAGTAACCTTTGGCTGTTTCATTCATAAAATGGGACGAAGGAAAGTAAAATTCATGCTAAGTCGAGTGTTCATCTCAGGGCCTGTGCTATGAAAAGTTACAGCCAGGAAAAAGTGACTTGATCTGGAAATGTCAGCTCCCTTCTTAGGCTTCCCCACACCACAGGGAGGTATGACTGGCCTCGTACAACTTACAGCCTAGCGGAGAAGACACGTTTTAATAGTCACACCACAGAATCAAATAATCCTGGGCCGGGCGCGGTGGCTCAAGCCTGTAATCCCGGCACTTTGGGAGGCCGAGGTGGGTGGATCACGAGGTTGAGAAATCGAGACCAACCTGGTCAACATGGTGAAACCCCGTCTCCACTAAAAATACAAAAAATTAGCTGGGCATGGTGGTGCATGCCTGTAATCCCAGCTACTCAGGAGGCTGAGGCAGGAGAATTGCCTGAACCCAGGAGGCGGAGGTTGTGGTGAGCCGAGATCGCACCATTGCACTCCAGCCTGGGTAACAAGAGCAAAATTCTGTCTCAAAAAAAAGTCACATCACAGAATCAAATAATCCTAAGCCTAAGAAAGGCCTGCAACAGATACCATCGAGAACAGCCCACTGCCCTAGGCTGGTGAATGTCTTAGGTTTCCCTGGACAGCAGTGACACACTACAGCAGGAGACTTGTCAGGTGCAGGAAGGTTGGCTCAGGACATGTGAATTGGGCCAGGTGAGGTGGTCATGCCCGTAATCCCAGCACTTTGGGAGGCTGAGATGGGTGGATTGCCTGAGCCCAGGAGTTTAAGACCAGCCTCGGCAACATGGTGAAGCCCCATCTCTACAAAAAATACAAAATTTAGCCGGGCTTGATGGTGCATACCTGTAGTCCCAGCACTTGGGACGT